CGCTGCGTGGGGGGGGCCGCCGCCGCCTCACTCGGGCCCTTCTCCGGCTGCAGGGGCTGCACCTCCAGGTGGGACTCGGTGGAGGGGCTGAACGCCGGGGCGTAGCGCCCGCTGCAGTGCTCTGCCAGCGCCGGGCCCCAGTCCTTGCTCGCCTTGGTAGCATTTTTCAAGCGCTATAGAGGGAGAGGATGGGGACAGGGTTAGCACCTGCCCTGCTCCCCTGCCCCGCTCCCCTGCCCCAGCCTCCCCCAACATGCCAGCGGCTCCCAGGGGTGCCCGGAGATGGGGGTGCCCCAGGGATGCTGCCTGCACACAGCTGCTGCAGGGTGCTGACAGCTCCAGTGGGGTGGGGGACAGCCTTGCAGGCAGCCCCAGGTGGGACATGGACAAAGGCGTCTAGTCCCTGGCCACCCACCTCCAGCAGCGTGTCCCCCTCAGAGCGGCACACTTTGTAGATGGCGTAGATGGGGATGCAGATGACAGAGGAGAGCGCCATGAGGAAGCCAATGCTGATGGCCCAGGTGGGGTAGACGTAGTCATTGTAGGAGATGGGCCGGTACTGGATCACTGTGAAGACCAGGATGAACTGGGGAGGGACAGGCAGGATCAGCCAGTGGGGAGCAGCCAGCCTGCTCTGCGCCCCCCCCCAGTTGCCCTGCTCTGCCCGATCCCTGCTGCCCCCCTGCAGCCCAGCACCCTCCTCCCCAGGGTGGGCGAGCGGGGGGCCCAGGTGGGATCCTTGCCCCCTCCTCCCACGGCCCCGTGCCCCATGGTCACGATGCTCACAAAGATGATGGCGGGCGAGATGAAGCGCCAGCAGATCTGGAAGAAGAGCGGGGGCGGGAAGCCCAGCATCATCTCAATGTCCTTGAAGTAGTTGCGGTGCCCTGCGGGGACAAGTGGCTGTCAGCCCCGGCGTGGCTGGACTGGGGCCCCGGTGGGACCCTGAGCCCCCTCCTACCCCTGCGCAGCACCAGCTCCAGACCCCGGGTGGTGGGACCCACCAGGCTCCTCGGGTCACAGGTGCCCTGATTGGCCAATGGCCTTGCATGCCTCAGCCAGTTAGCATGCAGTAAACTGCTGATTGGCCAGAAATTAGCACACCCCCTTCCTCACTGGTTGGCTGGGGCAGCCCTGCCAGCTGATTGGCTGTAGGCAGTTGCACCTACCGTAGATGTACATGATGGCCACGCACATGATGCAGGAGATGACGACCAGGGAGAAGCTGGCGGCGTAGTTGTCCATCAGCAGGAGCCAGTAGATGCCCGCCTGCGAGAGGGACCCGTTGGCACAGCTGCCCCAGCGGTACTGTCACCATCGGCAGGGCAACAGCACAGCCACGCTGCCAGGGCCAGCACGGCAACACGCAGCCCAGATACCACCACGGCGGTCAGCATGGTGATGCCCAATGCCAGGGTCAGCATGGCAACGCTTAGTCTGGATACCATCGCCAGTGTTGGCGTGGCAACACCAGGCCCTGGGTGTCACCACCACCAGGGTGGTCATGGCAACAATGTGGACATGGCTGATGGTATCAGCGCAAGATCACCATGGCAACGGCACACCATCACCACAGTCCCATGGTCACCTACCTGCGTGGTGAGCGGGACGCCCAGCAGGAAGCCCGCCACAGCCACCCCCAGCGTCACGAAGGTCTTTCTGCGGATGATCCACTCATTGCCCACCTCATCCACGATGGCTGTGACCAGCGTCTCCAGCAGGCAGAACTGCACGTGGGTGGAGGGGACAGCATGTCACCACCTTGGCCCCACCATGCCACCCCATCCCAACACGCTGGCCCCACCATGACCTACCTGTGTACCCAGCCCCAGGAGGATGAGCATGAAGAAGAAGAGGATGGACCAGAGGGGTGAGATGGGGAGCAAGGTGAGGGCCTCGGGGTAGGCGACGAAGGCCAGGCCAGGGCCGTGGTCGGCCACCTTGGAGATGTCCACGCCCAGGTGGTTGGCCATGAAGCCCAGGATGGAGAAGATGACGAAGCCAGCGTAGACACTGGTGGCGCAGTTGGTGATGCTGATGATGATGCTGTCCCTGCAGGGAGAGGGGTCGGGGCTGGTGGCAGGCCCAGGAGGCAGCAGGGAGACTGGGGGATTGCCGTCGGGCACTCACCGGTAGCAGTTGTTGTGGAACTTGTTGTAGGAGGCCATGGTGATGAGCCCGCCCCAGGCACAACCCAGCGAGTAGAAGATCTGCGAGGCCGCGTCACCCCACACCTGCGGCGGTGGGGTGGTCAGTGCTGTGCCCCGCAGCCCCGCTCCTGGCAGGCCACCCGCCACCCCTCATCCCCGCTCACCTTGGCGTCGAGGATCTTGTCCCACTGGGGCGTCAGGTAGTACATGATGCCGGTGAGGGCCCCCTCCAGTGTTATGCCACGCACGAAGAGGATGGTGAGCACCACGTAGGGGAAGGTGGCCGTGAAGTACACCACCTGCGGGGCGGCACCTCAGTGGGGCGGGGTGGGGGACAGGGGGTGTGGTTATGGACATCCCCTCCCAGGGGAGGGATTATGGTCCAGAGTGTGGAGCAACGGACCAGGAGGAGAGTACGGTCCAGTATGAGGGGCTACAGTCAGGGAAGGCGGGGCCATGGCCACATGGGAGGAGCTGTGCCCAGAAGGGGTGTGGCCTTTCCCAGAGTGGGAGGAGCATGCACAGAGGGCTGGGACCATGCCTAAAAGGGGAGAGGCTGTGCCCAAAAAAAAATGGCAGGCCACCCGCCACCCCTCATCCCCGCTCACCTTGGCGTCGAGGATCTTGTCCCACTGGGGCGTCAGGTAGTACATGATGCCGGTGAGGGCCCCCTCCAGTGTTATGCCACGCACGAAGAGGATGGTGAGCACCACGTAGGGGAAGGTGGCCGTGAAGTACACCACCTGCGGGGCGGCACCTCAGTGGGGCGGGGTGGGGGACAGGGGGTGTGGTTATGGACATCCCCTCCCAGGGGAGGGATTATGGTCCAGAGTGTGGAGCAACGGACCAGGAGGAGAGTACGGTCCAGTATGAGGGGCTACAGTCAGGGAAGGCGGGGCCATGGCCACATGGGAGGAGCTGTGCCCAGAAGGGGTGTGGCCTTTCCCAGAGTGGGAGGAGCATGCACAGAGGGCTGGGACCATGCCTAAAAGGGGAGAGGCTGTGCCCAGAAGGGGTGGGGCCACATCTACAATGGGAGGTACATTCCCAATAGGGGAGGGGCTATGCCTAGAGGGGGCATGGCCATCTACAGAGGGGGCGTGTCCATGCCCAGGGGGCGGGGCCCAGAGGGGGAACACGCGGGTACCTTCCCCGAGGACTTGACGCCCTTGATGAGGCAGAGGAAGACAACGACCCAGGAGACGCCAAGGCAGCCCAGGAGGGGCAGCCGCACCTCGCCCAGGTTCCCGATGTCGTCCGATAGGTCCAGCACATACCTCCTGCGTGGGGGGCAGCCGGCGTCAGCAGGGCCCCGCCACCACCGCCTCGCCCGTCCCCTGTCCCCATCCCCGTCCCCGTTACCTCCAGTACTCCTCGCTGGGGCTGGTGCGCTTCTGGGTGGTGTTGAGGAGGTGGGTGAGGTTGAGGGCGGCGCGGCTGGAGAGGTTCCCATCCAGCACCCCCGCGCAGTCGGGCGTGTTCCAGGCGTTGCTGCAGTACGTCCAGGGCAGCACACGCGTCATGGACACAAAGAAGTAGTAGAAGGCAATACAGATCACCACGTTGTAGTAGATCCCGATGTACGTGGACACCACCATCATCCCGTAGCCCACGCCTGGGAACAGCACCGGGGAGGGGTGAGCGGCATGGTGCAGCATGGCGCGGGTACGGCATGCAGCACAGGGGGGGTTGTGGCGGGGGGGGGGGGGGGGGTCGCCATGCTGCTGCTTAGGGCCCAGCTGTGGCACTGGGGTGGGGAGCACCGCATGGCTTAGCCCACCACTGTGCATGGGGTTCTCCACCTCCGAGAAAGCCCCGTGGTGCTGAGGGTCCCCTGGGACACACGGCAACACACACAGGGTGCATGGCCTGCAAGGCTGCAGGCAAACCCTTGGGGTCTGGAGACCTCCTTGGAGAACCACTGGGTGGGGGTCTCTCCTTGCATGGCCACAGTGACTTTAGAGCTGCAGCTATCTGGTGGCAGGTGACAGAGGCCACACAAGCACAGGGATATGCGCCCAGGCTGAGCACGCCATGGTGCAGAGCACGTAGGAGCATGTGCATGGGCTGCCCACACTCAGACGTGACATGTGGGCGCGTCACCTGGCAGGCAGCGTGTAGGCATGTGCCAGGGGGGCCGACAGCACAGGAGCATGCCGGTGCGCCAGCAGATGCACCTGCAGTGGCGTCCAGCCGCGGCAGGGCAAGCTCTGAGCATGGCCCAGCGCCCACATGTGTGGGCATAGCACCCGCTGCCCATGGAGCAGGGAGAGGACTGCAGGAGTATGCCCATAGCCAGAGGGGCCACAGCCACCCACAGCATGTTCAGGGGACCCGAGTGGCCTCTGCAAGGGTGATGCGCAGGGGACACGTGGCGTGTGCAGGTATGTGTGTGTAATGCCTGCAGTGGATGCCAATGCAGAGCGGGGGTGTGCACAGGGGATGCGTCATGTGTGCAGGGACGTGTGTAATGCGTGCAGGGGACGCCGGGTGGGCTATGTGTGCAGGGCAGTGCGGCCCAGGGTGTGTGCACGCACAGGGGACCCCTGCAACGCAGGCAGTGGTGCGTCTGCAAGGCATGCGGGCTGTGCAAGCTGCAAGCGCCCGCGTGGGGCTGTGCAACGTGCCAGAGGTGTGCGTGCAGGGGACACATGGAGGGGTGTGTGTGTGGGGGGCGTACCACATGCCGGGGGCTGTGCTGGCAAACGCCCCGTGCTGGCATGTGCTGGTGGGGATGGGCAGCCCCTTACCTTTGAACATGGGGCTGACCCTCCAGACGCCGAGGCAGCCCTGGCTGGCAAACTGCCCGAAGGAGAGCTCCATGAAGAAGAGGGGGATGCCGCAAAACACCAGCATGATGAAGTAGGGGAACATGAAAGCACCTAGCGGGCAGGAACCAGAGGGTGAGAGCAGGCAACCACCCTGGGCACGGCCATGCCCCTCCCCCTCCCTGCACCTGGGGCCAGCAAGCACTGCATGGGGATGGGCGCACGCCCCCACCCCTGCCCCAGGGCACCCCGCTCACCCGGCTCCCCGACACCCACCTCCCCCATTGCGGTAGCAGAGGTATGGGAAGCGCCAGACGTTGCCCAGCCCCACGGCGTAGCCCACGCTGGTCAGCACGAACTCGATCTGGTTGCCCCAGTTGCCGCGTTTGACACTCTTGTCCTGCTTGCCCCGCTCCCCAGGCACAGCGCCGTTCTGCGGAGAGATGCCACAGGGCGCGTCAACCGGGGA